CATAAAGTACATCAGGTTTCATAGAGCCAAACATTTCAAGTGCTACTCAACTGGCTTTAGCTAAGCCAGTCCTTTATTAGTATATAAGTGCTTCGTTAATAATTCTATCGCTCGAAGTGGAGTCGAAAGAGATGAGTTTTCAGTCTGCACCGGAAGGTGTGTAAGCTATCTGCTGTCCTGATTTCAATGGGGAGCTCATTCCACCATCTTGGAGCCAGGACAGCAAACCCACGTGTTTTCGCCGATGGGAACTTGGGTCCCCCTCGCAGCGAGGGCGCAGCGAGTCGTTTGGCTGATGCAGAGCGTAGTGCACGCGCTGGGGTGTACGGTTTAACCATGTCCTGGATGTAGGAAGGGCCAGATCCATTCGCAGCATGGTAAGCAAGTACCAGTGTCTTGAAGTGGATTCTAGCAGTTACTGGAAGCCAGTGAAGGGAGCCAACGCAGCCACAGAGTGTTCCTGCTCATGTTTTACTACAGACTCTGACTACAATTCAGATCAACGCAACAGTCAACTCTACGATAAATGATAAATAATCTGCATTTATATTTCCAGTCTTGACGACCCTTCAAAGCACTTTTACATATACTAGTCAGCATTCACCCAGTTCATTCAGAGGCTGTGTAAAGTAACTCAGCTCATTTAACCAAGTACAGTATTTAAGTACAAATTCACGTTTTTTTTCTTTTCCTGAACCTTGATCTGAAATCAAATAATCACAACTTTCTGTCTCTAAAAAACTAGTAAAGCCATTTTCATTTATTGACTGTTTCTCTCCCATTGTCTTCAGTGTCCATCTTTACATTCAGCTTCACATGAGAGGCCCTTCACCACTTTTTCAAAGGTATTGGGTATATGGAAAATGTATATCATACGGTATAAAGTTCACGGTATTCGGTATGAAACGGTATACCGCCAAGCACTATCATAGTAATCATATCTCAGTGTAGCACTTATTGCAGGGCTATGTTGCACATGTTCATACAGTAACACACACACACACACACACACACACACACACACACACAATGTCTGTTTTAGAGCCAGATGTTGCAGATATGTGTGTGTGTGTGTGTGTGTGTGTGTGTGTGTGTGTGTTTCCTGGCTACTGGTGTGTTCAGGTCATTAACACTACAGTTAACCAGGAGGAGAGGATAATGTGGAAAATATGAGACAGCAGTTTCTCACACACACACACACACACACACATACCATGTATACATCACTTCAGGGGACATTACATTGACTTACATGCATTTCCTGGAGACTTATCCTAACCATAACCAACACATGCCTAACCCTTACCCTAACCCTTAACCTTACCCTAACCCCAGGGGCGGCGGGTACTGTAGGCTAGGGAAGGCTAAGCCTTCCCAAATATTTGTATCACTGCATCCTGGTAAAATAAAAATATAATGTATAATATTTGTGTCTTTGACATTAGCGCTGCCAGGACATTTTCAGTGGGGTGGCCAGGATGGAACCAGTGATCATTTTGGGGTGGCATTGAAATCACTATGATATGAACATAAAAATACATCTCACTAGGGATGTCCCGATCACCTTTTTTTGCTCCCGATCCGATTCCGATCATTTGCTTTTGACAATCTACCGATACCGATTTTTCCCGATCCGATCTTTATGCATAGCATTAAGAGAAAAGAGGTAACAGATAACGGCTGGTCATCCAACGCGATTAACTCAGCTATCTTAGCTGTTATTTGTTGGCCTTTTCACTGTTCTGGGGCAGTTTCTCTTTCCTTTTAAAAGTCTCTGAAAGTGCCGTTACCCGAGTGGCCGCTGTTTACTCGTCGTGTTGTTGTTGGTGTTTGTTTCTCAGGTAGCGTATTAGATTGGTCGTGTTGAACGTAGCTCTGTTCTTTCCACCACGCGGAACCTCCTTCTTGCAAACATTGCATCTGGCTGTTACACTGCCTTCGCTTTCAATTTTATAATACTTCCAAACTCCTGACATTTTCTCTGTCCCGACTCCCGAGTCACCAGCTGAACGTAGCCTCTCGTTAGCTTGCTGCTACTATTAGACACTGCGCCCTCTCTGTTGCCAGATTTGAGAGGAATAAGCAGCCAGGTCTGAAAACAAGCCCAACAGAAGCAACACATACATGATGTTGTGTAATTTTAAACCAAAACGAAGTCCTCAGGATGATTTTAAGACGTGAACAAGGTCATTTTTGTTTTGTAACATTAAATAAAATAATAAAAATATTTTATAAAAAAAAAAAAAAAATTAAATTCCCGATCCCCCATTTTTTTCTCCCGATTCCGATCTTTTGAAAATCACGTGATCGGCTCCGATCCCCGATCCCGTGATCGGATCGGGCCATCTCTACATCTCACTATAAAATAAGGGGTTATTTAAGGCACCTGCTGCAGCCACCTGTGCCCTGTGCTACGAAGTCAGTTCCACAGACCCTGGATCTGTTTGAGTTATCTTAACTAACCCAAACAAACGAGATCTCGCTAAGCGGTCCTTCGGCGCTGGTTATCAACTCGGTAAATCAAGCCAGGGTTTCTTTCTCCAGCTGAGAGCGCGTTCACGTGAAAGGGGCGGGGTTAGCAACATTTGACCAATCACAAACAGGGACAAGTGTACTGACAGCGCAGTGTCATACTTCATTAATGAAAAGTAAACTAATATTAGACAAATATGAACTTTAAACATCCATGATGACTTAAACATATAATCCAGGATACAAGCCACAGAGTTGCTGCAAGGAGAATACAGAACAACTCGTTACAAAATAAATAAACTACAGAGTGTTTGAAAGCGTACAACAGGTTTATGATATCACTGCTCCATCTAAGACACGAGGGGATCTGACTTTAATTACATTTGAGTCGAGTGTTTCATCAACTTAATGTGTTGCTTAAAATAATACTTCTGCATACAGTATGTGACACTGTGAGTGTTGCACGGCCAGATACGGCTCAGCTGACTCAGATAAGGAGATATATCATATCATGATATTATATGATCGATGATCTGATCGATGATGTGATATGAACGATAAGTGCGACACGTCTGCGTCTTCTCTGCATACGGCAGTTTAAACTGTATTTCCTTTATCCTGTAATTAGGGCTGTCAGTCGATTAAAATAGTTAATCGCGATTAATCGCAAATTAATCGCACATTTTTGATCTGTTCTAAATGTACCTTAGAGGAATATTTTTCAAGTTTTTAATACTCTTATCAACATATGAGTGGACAAATATGCTTTATGCAAATGTTTATTATCATTTGAACAATGACAAATATTCTCATGAATATTAAACACAACAACCTGGAACCTCTCTCATTCAATAATACAATACAAATGGTGTGTGTGTGTGCGTGTGTGTGTGTGTGTGTGTGTGTGTGTGTGTGTGTGTGTGTGTGTGTGTGTGTGTGTGTGTGTGTGTGTGTGTGTGTGATGGATCGTTGGAGCTATGTGCAACTCAAGGCATTATGCTCGAACGGGAGCTGCCTGGAAGCTGTTATTAACGCGTTAACTTGACAGCCCTACCTGTAATATGACTTGATAGATTTAAACTCTGCACACTGAGCTCTGATTGGTCAGCAGGCGGTGCTTTCACTGAGTTGATCTCTTGTCTATAGACGCCAGAGGCGGGCAGCGTCAGGTAAAAAAGTGATTTAGCCTTCCCAAACCTGAGCCTCACGCGCCGCCTATGCCTAAGCCTAATCCTAAACCTAATCCTAAACCTAATCCTAAACCTAATCCTAAACCTAACCAAGTCTTCACCCTAAAATTAATGATTCCCCTTATGGGGACTTCCATTGTGTCCCCATAAGGGGGGCGAGTCCCCACACGTGACTGTGTAAACAGATTTAGGTTCCCACAAGTATAGTAATGCTAGGACACCCACACACATATATTTTATTGACTTGTATTCATTAATTCCTAAGATGCTATTGTTGTAAAAAGGTATTTATTTATGTATTCTTCCATGTGATGCACTCTGGGGGCTGCATGTCTGTATGAAAGGTTAAATAAGTGGTTAGCATTAAACCAATACCTGTTGATGTATCACAGGAATGCAACAAAGAAACTCCCACAGAATGTGCATTATGGAAATGGAAACATTGGTTCAGCTCGTTACAGCGAACACACACAGTGAGTTACTGCTGATTGAATCAGACTGAAGAGCTGCTGTTATGAGGGTGTGTGTGTGTGTGTGTGTGTGTGTGTGTGTGTGTGTGTGTGTGTGTGTTTCCAACATTTCCTCGTCATCACAGTTATACTATGAAGCTTAATATATTCATTTATGTATTTATTTCCTTTTCTATGTTTTCCCTTAGTTTGGCCCCTCCCACTCTCAGCATATCAACACAACAAAGGATAAATACTAACATACATATAAACACAACAACATATAACAGATGAACCATTAAAGGTGTTATGCATCTTATAATAAAAACAACGCAGTGTCGTAGTCTTGTGTCATCCTTAAATTGTATGTATTTGCATATAGATATATATAATTATTTTCCCATGTGAACTCTGTGTACGCGCGGCGCGCTCCCGAGTCATGGGGGAAGCATTTGTAGCTGGTGCACATTCTGCACCACAACACCTGTTCAGCCATTCAAACACGCTGAAGGCTAAAACAAAGACATCATACACCGACTGTATATAAAAAACACTATCTGCAAACAGCCTTCAGTATGCAATGCATGCATTTGAACACAGACATGAAGAGGACAGGAAGCCAGAAACGAAAGATTCATTATTTGACTCGAAGCAGCTTGCAGTTAATGCAACGGGTGTATTGGGTTGAATTAAAGAGACCATACACCGACTGTACAACATTACTGTATCTGCAGACAGTCTTCAGTATGCATGTGTTATGGTTTAAACCCGGAAAAGATAGGACAGGAAGCCAGAAACGATTCATATTAATAATTTGACACAAAGCAGAGATTCTGCACCTAATGCACCGCTTTTTTTGGTTTAAATTAAACATAAATGTTCCCCTCACCAGGTCGATGAAGGTGAGGAACTTCCAGCTGCCTCCATAGGTCTGGTGCGCCGGCATGTCCAGCGCTTTGTAGTGGCAGAGGATGGAGAAGTAGGAGAGGAGGATGGCGATCCGGAGCACCTGCGAGGGGATCAGCGCCATGATGGGGGTGTGTGTGTGCAGGGTCCCTCTGTGCACCTGTGTACACCTGTGTATGTGTGTGAGATGTTATTTAATGTTATTCTGGCCTGTGTTCAGCCGCTGCCTGTCTGCGCCTCTGCTCGCTCTGCAGACTGCTTCCGTGTTATGGTGATGGCGTAAACGGAGGGGGAGGAGTCTGTAGCATAGACTGTATAAAGGTATATTTATTTATGTTTTAAGTAACAGGTGAATGTGTTCTTGTATTAATATCAATCTATAAGCATAATACCTACGTTACATAGTTAATCTGTTAATTCTGTTCAAACTAAAACTGTCTTGACGTCCTCCACATTGGACATACTGTAACATTTCAAATTAAATACAAAGTCTAAATTGCAAGATGTTTTGTTAACCCCTAAGAAGATTGGAAAACACTTTTTCCCTCTGTTCCCCGGAGGATATATATATAGGTCTGTCTGCAACACTATGCTGTTGTTATTACAATATTTTAAATCAATGCAACACCATTTTTTTATAATGATGCTGAATGATACACTTCTATTTAGCACCCTCACACATAGAGTATAAATGATAGATTCAAATGTCAGAGGTCAATTTGCTTTAAGATGTTTTTGCATTCTTGTAATAAACACAGTCGCTTAGCTCCTATTCGAAAGAACGACACAGGATTTAAAAATGTGGTATAATGACATGATAAAATCAATACAAATATGAATACTAAGAATAATAGTATAACTACAATAATATTAATAATTCTAATAATACAGGTCTTATTTTCCATGCACATAGTCACTCAGGAAACACATAATAATAATAGGTACATAAATACAATATAATAATATTAATATTAATGATAATTTAGAAACAATAACCCTCTAGTGTTACTTTATTTTTCGCAGATTTATGTAAGAAAAGCTACATAAATACAATTAATAGTTTTCATTATAATAATTAATCACGTTAAAAACTATTGATCGAAAACAAACTAAACCATTATTTTGTTCAACTGTTTCCTTCAATGTATTGAAATACTTCTGAAAAAATAGTATATTGACTTATTTCAAATTATAAAATATTTACATTATTATTCTTATTTTTCTTAATTTTATTTTCTATGTTGACAGCGTAAAGACTGATACCAAATGATTGTCGTGTATTTGTACTATATAATTGCCCATTGTTTTATGTATGTTACCTGACAACAACACTCTGTCCATATCTGATATGTAGGCCTGCTGCTTCCTAAGTTATTCTATTATTATTATTACTGTTGCGTTGCGATGCAGAGAGAAACCATTAAAGCTGAAACAGGAAGAGAGGAAGCTGATCAGAGGTGATGCCGTTGCCACGGTGACGCTGTGCCACTGCTCAGGAAACAGTGTGATGTTGTTTCACAGGTTCTCATGAAGTGTGTTTCAAGTGTCATCACACACACACACACACACACACACACACCACCACCACCTCAGAAACCTGTGAGTGTTTGGCTTCAGGATACTAGGCTACTGGGACATGTCTCCATCTCTTTTCACCCCTGGGTGTTTCTCAATCTCGAGTACGCTTGCTTGGTAGCACATGTACCTCCGAGTGAGTTCCTTAAAGTGGACCTATCATGCTATATTTGAAACACATATTGTAGGGCCATACCTATATAAAACTTGTCTGTGAAGTTTTTTTTTCAAAATACCAAACAGGTCATGCATTTTAGCCATGCCTCATTTCGCTCTATTTGCTCTTTTCCAGCCCTGTTTTTGCAGAGGGCTGATTCTGTGAGAAGTCTTCTTCACTGCTTTTGTGGCAGACTACAGCGCCACCTACAGGGCTGGCATATGTACTACAGCGTCTCCAGCGCTTTCGAGCGGCAATGGCCGTGGCTGTCTCCTCCTGATAGGTGGAGAGTTGCCCATATAGGCGGAGCTCCTCGTTTCTGACGTCAGAGATATTTCAATTCCATATCAGATCCGTTGCAGCCCCGTTTTTAGAGATTTGGGTATGGAGGAAAAGAGAGAGGGTTGTGTATTCTGACACTTGGTGACTTCCATGACACACCGGGGACACATATTCATGTATAAAAGACGTACATAAGTGCATTTTATATGATAGGTCCCCTTTAAGAAGTGAGGCAAGAATACCTCCTAGCCTCGGAAAACGAAGAATGGAACAGGCTAGCAAGTGTGCTGGTGTGTGTCATAGGAGAGGCCCCGCCTTACATTTTCCGCCACAGATTTTGGAAATTGGTCCGTGTGCAAAGCATTGTGGGGATTTTAAGACCGCGGAGTCTTCACGTGTGCAGCGTCGAAATTTCCCGCAACGAAGTACGCCGGGCTCGGTAGAATTCCAAGTATGCTGGACATTGGAACAGTCCTTCGGCGGCACTTGATGACGTATATCCTTGAAATAGTGGCTCTGGAGCATCCTTCCTCAACATTGAGAAACACCCTCTGTCTGAAACCAGAGCCCAGTCTGCTCTGATTGGTTAGTTGGCCGGCTCTGTTGTGATTGGTCAACCGCTTAGAGATATCCCGCCCCTTAGCCTGTCACGTACAATGTGTTGAAGCGCTAGCCAATAGGAGCGCAAGTGTTATATAGTGATGTCATTATGTTCAGGAAGTAAACAAAGGAGTCCAATGGAGACGTTTTGCTAGCCTTTGCAGACCATTGACATGCACCAAAAACCTATAAAACACACTACAGGGAAGGAAGAACCCCATGAAGTAGAATAGGGCCTCTTTAAATGTAATTATATGTTTCCGTTGCACTCTATCTTAATGCTTTGAATTGCATTGCCTTGTGTTGAAATGTGCTGAATGAATATGAGGAGTTATGAATATGAAGCAATGTGACAATATGAATGGGATCTTTTTTATCAGTAGTTTTGCAGGGACGTTTCTTTGGACCGGGCTGATTGGCGCTTAGCCTCTTATTGTATTGCATGGTGTTATAACAATTACAATATCTTCATTTTAGTTAAAAAAAGCCAGCAGTATTGAACCCATGTTTTACTGTTTAGTTGTGAAACAGTATGTTGTGAGAGAGAAATCTGACTGCAGCTTGTTTGGGGTTTGGAAGAGATTTGTGGAAAATGTGATTGGACGGAATATTCTGACCCTTGTAGGGATCCTGAAGCGTGTGTGTGTGTGTGTGATGTGTGTCACTCTGATGTGGGAAAAGGAGGTTTATTTCCACAATAGGAAACTTTTCACCACACACGCACACAAAAACGTAAGTGTTAGTGTAGGGGAGGAAAAAGTACGGTATGTTGCTCCTAATTGAAGTCGATTAGAAGTATAAAAAGAAAATATCTAGAGTAAATTACTTAGTTACATTGCATGGCGACACACACACACACACACACACACATGGTTCCTTTTCCTCCTTCATTCTGCAAAATGTTCCACAGTGGAAACTCTGCTAACTAAGAGACAACTTATTATATTCTTTAAAGATATGCTTTCAGATCAATAAGGCATGTGCTGTTGTCTTATTTTATTAATGTATGCTGTATGTTAAATCACAAGTTTAATAGAACTTGTAGAAGTGGTAGATTAAATTAAAAAAAAGAGAATTATGATCATTTTCATTCATTATTAAGACCTAGAAGTAGCAAAACAGATTACATGCCATTTTTTTATTTCACACAATAGATTTTAAATTCTTTAAAAACATTGTTAAATGACCTGTAATCTTTACTACTGCAACAACTACTGCGATTATAACAGAAACATTGATAGTCATACTGATGCTGACCAGTAAGCAGTGCTGTTTAGCCCCAAACTACACTGGCTCTGTGTGTGTGTGTGTGTGTGTGTGTGTGTGTGTGCGTGTGTGACTTCCTTTCTCACCTTCTGATCTCGCACACACCCTCTGAAGATCTTGGAACGTTTGATCTCACAGGTAGTTTGACCTTTACCCTTCACCTTTTACATAACATGAGGGCCACACCTCGATACACTGATGACAACTCGTGTGTGTGTGTACTGTACGTGCATGTGTTGGTGTGTGTACGTGCATGTGTTGGTGTGTGTACGTGTATGTGTTGATGTGTGTATGTGCATGTGTTGGTGTGTGTACGTGCATGTGTTGGTGTGTGTACGTGCATGTGTTGGTGTGTGTACGTGCATGTGTTGGTGTGTACGTGCATGTGTTGGTGTGTGTACGTGCATGTGTTGATGTGTGTACGTGCATGTGTTGGTGTGTGTATGTGCATGTGTTGGTGTGTGTACGTGCATGTGTTGGTGTGTGTACGTGCATGTGTTGGTGTGTACGTGCATGTGTTGGTGTGTACGTGCATGTGTTGGTGTGTACGTGCATGTGTTGGTGTGTGTACGTGCATGTGTTGGGTGTGTACGTGCATGTGTTGGTGTGTACGTGCATGTGTTGTGTGTGTACGTGCATGTGTTGGTGTGTGTACGTGCATGTGTTGGTGTGTGTACGTGCATGTGTTGGTGTGTGTACGTGCATGTGTTGGTGTGTGTACGTGCATGTGTTGGTGTGTGTACGTGCATGTGTTGGTGTGTGTACGTGCATGCGAGAAAAGGGGAAAGACAGTGACAGGGATGAATGTGACTGTGTGAAGAAAAAAGACCAGAAGATACACAAAGTGTGTGTGCATGTAAAAAGAGTGTGTGTCAAGTGAGTTAGGTGTGGTAGCGAGGGGAGCGGTCTTGCTCTGCGTGTGTGTGTGTGTGTGTGTGTGTGTGTGTGTGTTTGTGTGAGAGTGTATGAGTAAGCATTAGTAATCAGTCAGCTGTCACAGAAGTGCTTTGTCTTGCAGAGCGTTACAGTTCGACTCCGGGACAAGCGCCTGAGGCGACGTGTGTGTGTGTGTGTGTGTGTGTGTGTGTGTGTGTGTGTGTGTGTGTGTGTCCACCTCTTTGATGTAATGGATTATTCACAGCAGCTTCCTGTAACTACTCAGCAGGTTCCTCGTTCACGGTTGTTTTTCTCGACTGTACAGAGAATGCTAACGATGAATGGAGAGGATTTGAGAGTTCCAGTGACGGACACATTAAAGCGAGACACATGACTCACGTCCTGGGACTGTGGCTCGTTACTTTAATCGATACGCAGCCTTTTAGGAGGGATGGCGCTGAAGATCATCTCTGTGTCAGGGACATGCTCCAAGTAGCTGTTGAAGTTCTTTAAAG